TTTTACAAATGGAAGAGGGGGAGGCTTGGAGGGACAGATGTGTACACGGCTAAGTCTGTTGCTAATAAGAGAAACGGCTAAAGCTGATGTGTGCTCCCACATGCCAGGCCCTTACTAGGCATTTCACTAACCTCACAACCTCCCCCAAGGTAGCCAGTCATTTTGTTCACACTTTACAATGAGAACACTAAGGTTCAGAGAGAGTTTGCAATTTACCCAAAGTGATACACCTTATGCAGCCAGGACCTGGTCCCAGCTACAGCTGGCTACATACAGCTTGTTGTTCCAGGTTTTGTTTGTTTGTGCTTACTCTGTACTGCCTCTCCCGGGGTCTCTCCGCTAACTGCAGAACCCAAGGAACCTATAATCCTAAAATATCCTCTAAACGTTAGATCTCATGCCTTATTACTGATGTCATCAATTTGGTGAGCAAAGAGAGTTAGGTAGTCCAAGGCCAACAGCCGTGTCTCGCGACAGCAACCAGATCATACTGCCAATGAGCTAGACAAAATACATTCCACAGCGGAGGAACCTCTACTACCTTCAGCTTCCAGTAAAGACTCATCATTTCTTCTGTCCCGACAGCCCTTCATTTCAGATGGCTTCATATACTCTGGATCCTCACAGAAAATGATCCAGCACCTCGCGGTCACGAAGCCAAAAGGCAAGTTCTTTGGGATTGCATCCATATGAAGATTTAATTCTGCAAAGCCATTTCCCTGCCCAGCCTCCCTGCTACATACCTCATGTCAAACTTCAAATGTCCCAGAACACACCCAAAGTGACAACTCCGGGCCTTCCCGTGTTCAACAGAACTGATCACCCATTTGTCGGCTCGGGGGCAAGATTAATTCTCCTGCCTTCTTGCTTCCACGGCACTTACAGAAAATTATCTTCACTGCAATCTTTAGTGTCACTGACATCATTGACAGCAGTCGGGGGGAAAAAAGTCTCACACAAAAATTCAGTAGCAAATACAAGCCAGAAAAAAAGTAAATGTGACACAGTCCAAACCAAACTGGGCAGGTTCTCCCAGTCCCTGGGAAATGACTTTACCTGAAGTCTGTACGACTCATTAAACTCAGCACTGAGAGGGTCGGGTCTATTGATCTACAGGGGCCCTTGGCAGGAACTTCTGTACTTTTCCAAGCCAGGTCTCCAGGGCCTGGCTCTGACATGGTTACCACTTCCGTGGAGAAGCTGACAATATTGTGCTCTCCCACCCGCCTCTCCATCAGATGAAGATAGCTAAAGGGCATTTGTCTTATCTAAGGAGACTATTGCAGCCGTGACATAGCGTGACCACTGGAAAATACGGGGACCTCACGTAGTCAGAGCACATAGTTACCACGAACAGGAACATGCTGTTACCCAGGTTCACAGCTGTGTGCAGTCCATATTTTCCCAACGTTCATTTCACTCAAATCTTAATCAGATCAGGAGAGAGGTGAAAGGAGAATGTGAGGCTCCTATGCATCACTCTCTAGGAAGAAAAGTTCTCGCTTCTAAGAGGAGTGCCCTGGCTATAACGTCTTTTGAGGTGGCTGAATGGACTTGGTGTTCTGAGTAAGAAGAATGAAAGGAAATGAGATTTTTTTTTTTGCCATTTAGAGAAATGAAGAAGTAGAATGGTTTATAGACAGCCCCCATCCCTTTCAGAGAGACTGCTTGGAGGTAATAACCACAATTTCAGGCCCTTCTTAAAGAAATCTCATCTCATACCGGGCTCTAATTAAAGGCAAGCCCTTTGAGGCGCCTGGCTGGCTCAGTCAGCAGAGCATGCGACTCTTGATCTCCAAGTCGTGAGTTTGAGCATCATGTTGGGCAGAGAACTTACTTAAATAAATAAATAAATAAATAAATAAATAAATAAATAAATAAAAAATAAATAGAAAAATAAATAAGTAAAGACATGCCCTTCATAAATGCTGACTTGTAGTGTTGTCAATACTAGACAACAAGCATGGAAGATGGGGGCTGGATGTATGTCACCTTACCATACCCAGCCTCAGTAAGTGCATGATAAAGATCATTCTGTGATTGTGACAGTGACAACACAGAGCCTGGCGAATCCCATCACCATCCCAATGCTGTGCAAAAACCCTACCTGGAAACGTTCTTCCCTATCAATCACAGGATCAGACAGGGAAGCCGGGAGATTGGTCCAAGTTCCAGACACTGATAGATTCAAATCAGTCAGCGGCCAGTGAGCATCTAGAAAGTGGCCAGCACTCCACTGTGGCTACAACAGACGTCAGGCATTTCTATTCTTGGTCTTTAACCTTCCAAAAGCAAATCAGGTTCAACCGCAACATGAAAAACTGAACAACAAATCAGAGAATTCTTAAACTGCCGAAGAAGGTTTAGTCCAGTCGACCCCTCGCTTTCTTAGGAGCTAAAGAGCTCAGGATGAGGCAATCTACCATGGAGCTCCAGATCATCCCTGCGGAAGAAGAACAGGTGGGAAGTCCGCTTCCCCAGCCTGATCTACTCTTTCTCTCCAGATCCCCTTGGAAGAGAGAGGCACCCCTCCTCTGTCTCAGCCCAAGACACAGAGAATGGAAAATGTTCTCCCACAAGAGGAAAGTCTAGAGGAGACCAGCAGCTGTCACGAGTTTCCCTGTGACTTGAAGCCTCTCAGGCTCTCCCCTGCGGCAGCCAGAATCCACATCCAGAAGCACCCTGCGTCCTGGTCTTCTCTCAGAGCCCCAGCTAAGAAGAGCATCCCATCCACGCTGCTGTGTACACTTACTCATCCTTTTCATTTGCTGTGCCCTCTCATATACGCAGGAAACCCTGTTCTTGTACGTTCTCCAAGGTCAATGAAAATGTTTTTTTAAATAGGCACAGAGAAAAAGTTTCATTCCCTGTCCAGTCTGCAAAAGGGCACTGCCTGGAGGAATTCCACTCCTGAGCTGAGCGTCCCAGGAAGAGCTGGTGCACAGGCTTCCTCTCTAAAGCTCCAGAGACTCACACTCAGAAACACTAACCTGGCGGCAACATGTTTAGGATGCCCAGTCCCTGCCCAGAACCTTACCTCGGTGCATGTCCTAAACTTAAAGAAGACCAGAAGGCCGTAAAAATGGTCTCTGAAATTACCTGCAAACTGACAATTCCGTAAGATTTAGCCAAAAAGGATCCTAAAAAGCGAATCAGACATTCTGCTAAAGAAAGAACGCGAAAGCCATTATCTCCCAGGTGGCTCCACCCCCAAGACCACTTCCTCTTCGTCTTTAGTAACTATAGCATTTTGCAGGAAGGTTAAAACCTATGGAGCCCCTTGTAAGACAGGCCTGGCATTGGTAATAGACAACCTTTCACTCATTCAGGCCAGATCCATATGCATATCCATATCCATATCCATTCCCAGCCCTCAAGAGCTCACAGAGGAACAAGCAAGTGAACAGGCAAATAAAACACACTATGGAAACTGCTACTCTATGGACACGCGCAAAATCAGAATTCTGTATTACAACACTTCCTACACTGAATATGCCTGATTGTTCGTAGGTGGGCCTCACAATCAGACAATACAACACTCGGGGGCAGGAACCATGTTCTCTTTGTCTTTGAATATCCCCAGCGTCCAGCAGAGTTTATGCATATAGTCAGCGCTCAACGGTATTTGTTGAATGCCTGAATGACCCTTGGAGGCTAAGTGAGCTCTGTAAAATGAGGGGAGTAAGCAGTGTTTCTGTTAAGAACTTCAAGGTTCTTGTATTTTAGACCAGACTACTAATTATAGCACTAGAAAGGGAACAGCAGACTTCTGATTATAGAACTAGAAAGAAAAGCAGAATAAGGGGAGGGAGGGCACTAGGCTTTATAATCAAAATAAGTCTGAAATTATAGACTAAAGTCAGCCTCTAGCTGGGAGTGTGGCCACATCTTTCTCTCTCTCAATTTAACATCTTTTGATTTCAATTGATTTTCCTTACTTTACAAGTATAAGACCATCAAGACCAAAGGAAATGAAAGGTGTTTTGTGAACTAAAGCAAAGAGGACAAACCCAAACCACTCTCCATTTGTCTTTGGAAAGGAGTGTCCACTGGAGGTGCAGCAGGGGGAGTGTGGTATTATTCCTTCTGGGGGCTGGGGTGCCTTTTATGAGTTCAGAAAAAGCCAAAAAACAAAACAAAACAAAACAAAACAAAACAAAACAAAACCTCACATGAGCACCAAAATAGGTAATTAAATGTTGAATTAAAGAATCAAGAGCAGAGGAGAGATTAGGCCAGCTGTCAGGCGGTGGCAGTTGAAGGAGGTAAAATACACACACACACACACACACACACACACACACACACAATGTCTGCAAAACCCCTCCCAGACTTAAAAAAAGTCACTTGTGTCACCTTTTAAACCTACAGAGCAATCATTTCTAAAAGAAACAGCAGGTAGAAAACTAGCCTCAAAAAAATTCTCCTTTCCCAGTTGAATTTTTTGAGGTCGTCTGAAGAAATCTTTCCCTCCCGTCACATAATCAAAGCTGTGGAAAAGGGCAACATAGATCTCTTCCTGATAGGAAATCTTGGATTGACTTCTAAAGGAGAGAGACTGGCCCGAGCCCCATGCTGCTCTGGAAGTAGAGGGAGTCTTTATCCTAATGAATTGGTCTCATCAATTTAACTGCACATTTGATCCCGAGACCCTTTGTGGGCCTGAGGACCCAGGGAGGCCCTTAAGTGAGGCTGTCCGCAGGGTGGCCCACTCCACCAGAGCCACCAGCAGACAGGAGAAGGCCACTGGGGAGATTCTTATTTTATTATGTAAATCACAGGAAGCCACATTTAGCTTCTCCTGCGCAGCCTCCCGATTCCTACCCACTGGCCACCAGCAGAGAAGGAATGAGTCTGTCAGCATCAATGAAAATGACGGGGCTGGCTGTTCCCGGTTGACAACGAGGGTCCTCCATAAGCACCTAACTGAACGCGCTCACGGTGAGGTTTCTCTCTCTCTTTTTCGCTCTCAAACCCATTTCAGTCCATTACTTCCGAGGAATGCAAAAGGCAACATAAATGGCAAAGGGTGAGGTCAAGTTCAAAAGCCCCGTGGGGAAAACACAGACTTTAAGTCAGACTTCGGAATCCTGAATCTCACAGCTCCTAGGATCTATGTGACCTCAGGCATGTGACTTAATTTCTCTGAGCCTCGGGTTCGTCTCTGTAAAATGAGGATAATAACATCAGTATCCACCCTCCAACGTTCTTGGTAAGGATTATGTTTTGAGGGAGCTGCTAAGGTCAGTGGTTTTGTGAGGGCTGTATGACTTCATTCTAACCAAATACGAAACTGAAGAAGAGCAACATCCAGATACGGCCTGGGCGTGGACAATTTCCGCCCGTGTGCGTGGCTAGGACGCTGGCATTTCAGGGAGCCGAAGTGGAGAAGCCAACCACCATGATGGGCACGGCACATTCCCACAGACGTGATCCACACCACTGCAAAATTCTCTCCCTACTCTAGAATTCCTGCGTTAGCCAACTTTATCCAGCTCAGGATAAAACCCAAAGACTGCCAAGACCAGTCAATGTCTTTCTTTTCAAAGAACATAAAGGAATCCAAGAAGGATCCAGAGAATTCATTCTCACATGAAATCAGCCTTGCTATTAAATAAAATCACCCTCTTCAATCAAAATCTACACTCTTGTCAAGACATCTGTCAAAAATTATAACTGCTGCAGACAAGTAGGAAAAACAGCCACACAGCAACAGAAAATCCCTTTGGCTGAAGAGTACATCCAGAATTCTTTCATTTAACGTCTAGGCCAGGATGTCTAGATTAATTTAAAGCTAACCACAAAATTAGCTACTGCTTTTCTTTTGAGAAGGGGGATTAGAGAAGGTGACTTCTAAATGCTCTCTTCTTCCAAACCTAAAAAAAGGGATGAGCGTGACACGCAGACTTGGGCCTGCAGAGCAGTTCTGTTTGCCAGGCCCTGGGTGTCTTTGTTTGTTTGTTGCCCTTGCTGCTGTCCCTGCCCTCCGGAACAAGGGGCCCACAGACTCGTGCTTTTTCAGAATCATTTCTGTCTCCGAGTGAATTTGTCAAGACAAGGTTTGTGGTATCTGCTGGATCCCCTACATGTGGAAAGACAAAAGACCGCAACTCTCTCTCAAGTTCAGCCCAGAGCCAATGTCATGCCAACAGCTCGGAAAATTATTTCCGTCATCACTGCTCCAAAACGGAGCCCCTCCCCCCTCTGCCCAGCCCCCAGCCCAGGCCCCGGGGACCCACACTGCTGTTTGTATTGGCACCTGCAAGCAGCTTGTTCGCACACATTCAGACGACGAGAACAAGAGAGTTCAGAAGGGCCCTCCAACAAGTGAGGGACCCAGGAGGAAAAGGACAGGCAGGATCTAATATCCCACAGTAGCTTGTTTTCACTGCCACTTTGGCTTCACCTCACCACCTACCAGAAGCTATTCAAACACTCTACACAACTCGGGTTCCCAGAAAGCCAAAAGCAAGTATCAGTTTCTCCCTCCAGGCAGCCTCTTTAGATTCAAGGATTCCTTTCACCCCACCTAAACGGACCCATGATCCCTAAAATAAGAAGCAGCACTCTGGAAACAAACTGCTCTTACTCAACTGTTCAAAGATGAGGCCTTGTCCCACATCCTCACCAGCCCCCTCCCCCCCCCACTCCTTGACACTCCTTGGCCTTCAGGAGGAATAATAACAACGTGCTTCATTTTATCTTCTTTCAGGGTGGGGCAGATTAACTGGGATCATACACACTTAACACAGTGCCTGGCACATTGGTAGAACTCAATAAGGTAGTTATTATGGATATTATTTTCACTATTCCAAAAATGAGGTATACTTATTATTAAGAAAATACCTCCCTAAAAAAAAACAAAACAAAACAAAAAAGAAAGAAAGAGAAAAGAAAACTCTTCCTAAAAGGCATGTCATTCTAACCAAGTATGAGCATTCCACGGTCAATTTTCAGTCTCTCAGGCAAACAGAAAACACTAGTATGACAAAAAAAATCCTAAACAATAGATATTCTAAAGATTCTTATTTGGATTTGGAATACAATATGTACAGTGATACACACAGATCCGTTTATCAAGAAAGAGCTGTCTGGTACCAACTATGTATACACACTACACTAAGCATACACTGCACACACATATATGTATTTTTAACATTTTGGAGCACCTCCTAGGAGCCAGGCACTACACTGGCTGGGCTGCTAGCAACCTCTTCCCTTGTGTACCTGCTCCCTCCTGCTCCCATCAGCCAGGCTGGCTGCTTCCCCACGGTCAGTAGTCTGTTCATAACAGACATTACTTATCATTTTAATTACATATTAAGTTATTACATAAACTTATTAAATGGGGTACAAAAAAGTGTTTCTATGAAAAGTTGAATGCTTTGGAAAGACCTGATGAAGACAAGTTGCCAAAAACAAATTGTTGATAGATTAATTAGGTGTGGGCAAGGCGGTGGTAAAAAACTGGAGTGGTGGAGCTTAAGAAAACTGGAAATATTATGCATTTTATTTCTCAAATGTATTTAAGAACTTCACTTAAAGAAACTAAAACTGGAAGTCACAAGTAATGTGTTAAGGATGTACTTTATGAAAGAAAGTCAAAAGAACTCCACTCAGAAGACCCACACTTGAAGAAAAAGCCCCCGCCCACATCAAGAGATTTGGAAATGTATGTACATTTATATATTTTTAGGTTAAAATGCTCAGGGATTGTATCAATTTCCTTTTTAAGATTCTCGGATTTAACTGACTTTTGAGATCAACTGACCAACTACACGTCCGATTGCCCCAGATAAGAAGGTGCTCCCTCTATACCTGCTTGTTTCTCTTAGGTCGATGGCAAAATAAGTTTATGTTCCCTTGGTCCAATCTAACTAGGGAGCACAGAAAGTTGGCCTGGGACTTTATAGAACAGACCTGTTAAATACCTCCCATACAGAAAACGTGTGGGTAGAATACTGAATGTTCGCCATATTTCCAGAGCCCGAGATGCTAATTCTTGTAAGCATGAGCCACACAGACTACTCGTAGTCTGAAGCATGGGCCGAGAGGGAAGGGATGCTCCCCCCCAGGGCCAGCTCAGCTTTGGCCACAGGTCTGGACACAGCCGATGTTCCAACCCGGCCTGAGATGCCAGCTCCTCAAGGAGACAAAATGTCTCAGCTGATGCTTTATGGAGAAAAGGCACCACTACCAAGTATCAAGGAGTGTCAAGGGGTGAGATCCCGTCCCAAGACCCCCTGATCACCAGTCTAGTACGTTTCTGTTTATTTGCATAGAACGCTGGATTTCTATGCCACATGACAATTCCAGGCACTGAAACTGAAGCAACATCATTAGCTTCCCGCCGGAACTTTATGCCATTGAGATGCAATCTGTCAGGGGAGGGGAGGCTGTGCGGGGCCTCCTGTCAAGTGCAGTCTGCATGCAGCAGCACAGAGCAAGGGAAAAGGAAGGCTTCAGCAGAGTTTCAGTCACCTGACAATATTCTTAAAGAAATATTTAACATATAGAGAATCCCACTGATGGAGAGTGAAAAAAACCAACTTTTTTTTTTTTTTTTTTTGCACTTTCTTTTAAAGACAAGAGATTGGTAGGAGGAGAGAGAAAAGCACTGGGGGAGCCTTCGTATATTGTGAGCTGTGTTTATTTTTACTCTCTCTGCCAACAGAGGCAAGGTAATTCTATAAGCATCATTTAACTTTCTCCCTGGAAACAAAACAGAGGAAGGCAGTTAATGCCTTGCATTCTCCATCTGCAATTTCCAACTCCAGTATCACTTGTTCCCCCCCCCCCCCGAGAAAATTAAATTGAGTCTCACAGAATGGCCCCCAAATGTGTGCTTTCCAAGGCAGATCCCAAAACTGATGGGAGAGGATGGGGAGCTATTTTCCATTTCAATTTGAAGTCAGAACATCTGTGGGTCGCCTTGTCTTCATTAGGGGTAAGCCTAGATGACCTCCAGGATTTCTCTCCTTCCAAAGGAATAAAATTAAAAAAAAAAAAATGAGTTTCAATGACAGCTGTTGAATTTTAAGTCAGGTATCATCAAGAAACTCCTAATTTGAGAGCTGTCAATCAGGGTAACAGGTTCCAAAATAGGTTGTGGAATCTTCTTCCCTAGAGACAGTTAAAAATAGCCCTGGCAGCCATCTGTCCTGCTAGGGTGCAGCCCTTCCAGGAGGCGGGTGACAAAACAAAACCCTGCTTCCCTCCCAGGGAGTCTTCAACGGAGAAGTGACGAGGTAGATAAGGAAAAAGGGAAGGAAGCAGAAGTCCATCTGGGCCCAGGTAAAGCTGGGGAGGAGGCAGCTGAGACTTCCCGTGGCAAAGGGATGACGAGGGCTGAAAAGAGGAAAATACTGGGGGAAAAAGACAGGAAATAACCACACGGCTCAGAGTTCTGCGGGGAGAGCGGAGCCAATTTGCTTCCTAGCTATGGCAGCGCCATTTGGTCCTGGGGACTGGGAGCTCAGCCACAGATCCTTAGGGAGGGTTATTATTCCCCTCCCTAGTTCCCAAAAGAGTGTATACATGAAGCCAAAGTGAAAGATGGGAATCGTCAAATAAATCCAAGATCTTCCCAGGGAACCAGCAGCACCCACCGAACATCTCCACAAAGTTTTCTTTTAAAATACAGTCCTTTTGTTTCTTGGGCTGTCTGTAATCCTACCCATTTCCTGCATTTCTTTCATTGCTATGGAAAGCTCTCTTGGGGCATGAAGAGGAACAAAACCTCCATGGACCTTTAAAAACCTAACTCCAATGGGAAATGCAAGAGACAGCATTGCTATGGCCTATAACCTCTGCAAAATTGGGACTGTCCCTCTCCTTGCAGACACGAGCAGCCCTTTGACCCCCATCTCTGTGCAACCACCTCAAATGTCCACACTTGGGGGTTTCAACTAGGTCTTTGTTCCTCACATTGTGTCTTCCCACAGCACACTGGAGCCAGACACGTGGCACTGTCAACATGGGCCTTTGGGTAACCAGCTTTGCTGGTAGACAAAACACAGGAAGCCCACTGTTTTCTGAGCCCACACAGCGCCAAGAGAGGCCCCTGCAAGGGGAAAGAAGGCAGTGACCAGGGGACTCACTGAGCTGAGGTAGGCAGCACACTGAAAATGGAGGCGAGGGTGGCCACCAGCTGTTGAGACCCAGACGTAAGAGAGTACAGGGCCAAACCAGTGCCTGG